AAGACCACTTCTCTATTATCCTCCATCACAACATTTTCCTGAAACGTGATGTCAATTAAGTAAAAGGATTTTATTGGAAAACAAAATGGATAAAAGGGAAAGTAATAAAAAGAGTTGGAAAAGAAATAAAAAATAATGAACTGCTTAAATAATCAAGTAAAGTGGATCAAAATAAAAGGAGAACTTGGTTTTTTAAAAAATCATCGCAAAATAAACAAAAAACAAAATATTACACATGCAATTGGGCTTAACAACAATCTTAATCCAGTACAAATTCATGGTAAAAAGCATCGTTACAATGGTTCTCATTGAATTTCCAGATCAATTCAATTAAAACAGATGCTACGTGATACTGAGTGAGATTTACTTTTGTTAAACTTCTGGCACTTTCCAAAGAATCGTCAATTTTTATTTGAATTTCGGGCAATAGAAATTTGAGTTCATCAATTTCCTTTTTAATTATCTCTGCTTCTTTCTCACTTTGATGTGCTAACTGTGCTTCAAGTTTCGCTGAAATATGTACAAAATAGATTTCCAAATCTAGATAAAGTTTAAAGCTTATGCCAAATACTTTATGCAAAATTACATTTTTGGTCTTTGTAGTATGACCAATTTATATAAGTAAGAAAATACAAAATAAATAGAAATATTTCAAGCAAAATCCAACAAACTCACCCAGTTTTGCTTCCAAAATTTCTTTTGACTTCCCAAAAATTTTGGCTGCATTCCCAAAATCTTTGGCAAGATTGTGAGTTCGTCCTTTTACAAAATAAGCTTGCGCAACACGCCGATCGACTTCACCGAAAATGCTTTCCGTGAGTAAGATACATGCATCAATATCATCAATCGCCTGTTTATAATTTTCTGCATCGGTTGAGCAATCAGCGAGATCCAGAAGAACTTCCACTTTCTTCTCTTTCCAGCCTTCTTCTTCTAAATGCCTGAAACTTACCAATATTCAGTCCAGACTTTTCAAATTTGTTTCAGTACAGTTTATAGATCAAAGTTATTTTAGTGTTCGTATTCTGAATACAGTATATTACTGAAAGCTTATCTCCATCCATATTACTATATTACCGACTATAGATCTGTTAACATACTGTCTATAAAAAAACGAGTGCAGAAGAAAACTCTTTCAATTCCCATATGATGTGATAAGTACCAATGAGTCGAATTATTCGTAATAAGTGAATGGTTTTTGAAATAAGTTCGAATTCAACAGTCACTTTATACCAATTTTTTGACTTAAACACTCACTTATCACAAATGGTTCGCGCAACTTCCAAATTCTCCCACGCTAGCTGCAAATATTCAACATCTTCAACGTCACTGGATCCTTTGTCGTCGACCTCTAGAATTTCATTTTTACCACTTTCACCTAATTTACCATCCTCTTCTTCGTCGTCAGCTCCAACACTTCCTTTCTTCTCGTCCTCCGTTTTTTCATCTTCTTTTTTTCCTTCACTTTTGTTCTTTTCTTCCTTATGAACCATAGTTTCATTCTTATCTTCATCCTTATCTACAGTGCATCTATTAATAACAACGGAGCGATCAATAACGACGATCAGTTTTTTTTTTTTAAATACATAATAAAACAATCTTTACCACTTTCGATTGCACAGTATCTCTTCGTTTGCTCCTTCTCTGTACTATTTCCATTATTTTCCGTAGTTATATCTATTTCACTGTTATCGACACGAATATCAATACCGTTTTCCTTAAGATTTAGCCCATACATTCATAAAAAAATCACCTTAAAGCTAAATAATAAAATAATCTGTTCCTATAAACCATTTTTTGGCTAAACATGAAGACCAATATCAAGAAAATTTTGAAAGACTTGCCGTGAAGTAGTCGATAAACTAAAAGTCATGATTTTTGGCATAATTTCTATCCACAAACTCTAGTCATTTGAAAGAAATTTTTAAAAAGTAGCACAAGTTTCACTCCATCAGAATTTTTTGTATAGCAACTATATCCACAATTGTACTTTCATAAAAACTTGCCTTTTTATTTTGCTCCAGCATATTGAAAGAGTCAACATGACAACAGGCAATTTTTCCCTTCAAGATATCAGCATTCTCTTCCAAAGCATTACCAACCTTTTCCGCAATTTCAGCTTTTTTTTCTGAACAGAAAATCAGCTCCTTTTTAACACATATAAGGAGATACGTATACTAAAAAGAAATTGAAAATGAAAAATTCGACTCCAAAAGAACAGAAATAAAAAATCACCAGTGAGTGATTTCACTTCCTCGACACTTTCATGTTTTTCGTTGTTCTGCTGCTTGCATGCTTCTTCGTCGGTAGCTGCAATACCTTGCAAAGCATTTGAAAAAACGCCATCCTCCAGTCTGGCCAATTCAAGCAAAGTTTTACCATAATACAGATGAGGGTCAAATGTTGGAACAGCAAAATATCCATAAATGTTAACACTGAAACGCTGACACAAAGACATTCCCTCCTGTTCTAATATATATCCCGAATCCATCATTTACTAACCCACTAAAAGTGATCGCAAATAAAATAAAGACTGAATTAAATTATGAGAATTATAACTTTGAAATTAATTCAAGTAGCAATCATTTTCACTTCAACCTGAGCATCAATATATTCAGCAAAACCTACGAGAGTTCAGCAGCTTCGCCTAATTTTATTTCAGCTTCTTTGAATTTCCCTGATATATATGCCTGTTTTCCTTCAGCTAAAAGCGTTTGGAATGTCACAACATCTCTGCAATCGAATGGATGTATCATTAAATTTCAAAATTAGACGTTCCAAATTTCAATTAGTCTTTGAATAAGACAATGTAAGCAATAGCAAGATAAACTTCAATGAAATGAAGATGAACCAACCTCTTATCCTTCTTGCCAACAGACTCATCGTTCTTCGATGTTGGTACCATCATTCCTGCTTTCCTGAAAATACACACGTCACAAACAGCACGCTTAATTGTACAACACTTCACATTTACCTACCACGTCCTCCTCTCCATTCGCTTATATTCGCGCTCCAATCCTATTTCACAGCCCCGCGGCCGTCGTTATTTATCAAATCTCATTCGGAAGGTTTGCGAGTAAGGTGACCAAAAGCGGTTTCTTTTGGACCAATGAGGTGACGTAAGGTTGAAGGTGGTATGAGAAAGGGGCAGGGGTGTGTGCAATGGTTAGAAGTCACTGTCCTGGTGACTTTTCATCCCAATTACTACTGAGATTGATGCAAAGCAAATACTCGTTAATGTAATGTTTCAGTGGCGATGGAACTGGACAGATCATTTACAGAACGCATAAAAGTTTAGGGAAGTATTTGCTTCTTGTAAGTTAACTATCACAATTATGATTTAAATGATGTTAAACCATTTCCCATCTCATTTCTGCATTTTTCCTCTCAGTAACTTGTGCTATATCATATTTATGGTTTAACTGACTTGTGAAGTAAATCATTATCACTCAGTTAATGCTATGCAATCAAATAGATTTATATCTGTTGTTACATATGTCATGATTAGGGTAACACTCATCAACATAGGTGTGCATTTCTTTCTCACTAAGTTATATTTGCTCTCGTCATGCTTCAAGCCATTTATAGTGGCTTTCGTTTAATAAGTTATGAAATCATAGTTTGTGATGTCTGTATTTTATTAATCTCCAGCAATCTGGATTCTGGTCATAATAGTTCAAAACATTTCTGTTCTTGTTAATATGAATCTATTATCTAAACCTGTTCAAAGGGAAAATCAATTAAAATGGAATGAATGGAATAATTTGAGGTGTTCAGGTGGAATGAATTTTAGACATATTTAGTGGCTGACTATACTGACATATGAAGCGAAACAAAAAAGATGATTTTCATATATCTGACATATCATTCGGAACTTTTTTTCTTGAAATAGAGAAGTAATTCTCATTCTTGTTGATATCTTTTGATAAGGCATTCTCAGATTTATTCTGAAACAAATAAATAAATGAGAGAATTGAAATCCTTTCAAATGAGTAGAAGCGAGTTGAATAGTTGATTTCAGTTCATTAAACTAGAACTTATTGCTTTAAATACTTGTCTTGCTGAATGAAATAATCCTAAATTTATTTTACTTGCTTCATGTATTTGTTGCAGTAGTAATTCTCAGCTTTGGCATTGCAGAATGAAAAGGCACACATTCCGTATTCTAGTTCGATTCCTTAAGCTTCTTCCCTTCGAAAATGTTAGTTATCGATTAAAAAAAGTGTTAGTTATCATTCATATTTCGTTTATATTTGTATCGAACTCGCCTGCACTTCCGCTGATTCAAATCTGCCGTCTACGAATCTTCCTATCACACATGATATCATCGATTGCTGTAAGAAGTTTCTTTTGTAAATGTTTTATAGTTGGAACTCGAGAAAATCGAATGAAATTGGAAAGAATTTTTATTCGAAGTTTTTTGTAATTATTTTATTGAAAATTTTTATGGAAGCGTTTTTGTTAAAAGATTCATGTAAGGGACTTTCTGTGCTTGCGAACTGAATACTAGGGTCTTCGTTAAAAAATTGTTTAGTTCTTTGATTTTTTAAAGAATTCAAGCTTTTAGTTTTGACTGGGTAACCTGGTTATTCTGTACTTAGTCATCTTAAAAAATGCATACACTTCTCTTTGCTCTTCTGCTAATTGCCTGAAAATTATTAGATGATGAGAGTCGAAATGAACATAAGCGCACTTTATTGATTTACTATTAGTCTTGAATTCCATAGCTAGATCTTTTAGTTTGAAAATTTGTATAGTTATCCAGTATGACAAAATTCATTTTTTGATGAGGTGACAAAACTGTTATAGGGCCATATGGATGGACCACTTGTGATTGAACTTGTTTTCACCTTAGCATTTACTTATTTCATAAGTAAAATTTAATCCGTTGCAGAGGAAAGTAGTGCTAATATTCTTGAATATTCTCACAGGTGTTGGTGAAAAGAGTAGTAACACTTAGTAATGACTTAAAAGTCTTCTGAAAAATTGAAATAGAAATTTCACTTCATGTCATATGAGGGTTTCGTATTTATACGTACAGGTAGAGTCTCATTTGAGGAAGATTGTGCAGGACTTCGATCTTTTGGTTCCCGAATCTTTTTTTTGCTTTTTGTGCTAAGCGGTGGAGGCCGACTTCCTGGATTTCGGATCTTTACATAAGTTGCTGATGACTGGAAATTTAAGAACTAGTTAGATAGAAGAAAACTCGAGTTATCCTATTGGCACTAGCACAAGATTTTAAAACTGAGTGGATATTTGGAATTGTAGTGGATTGTTTGGAAATAAACCTCTCAGTTTTTAGAATTGTTTTGACTCAAAAGTTTCGCCTTTTAACTGTTTCATTTTTAATAGGTGAAGTTCGACCAAATCCTGCTTGGAATTCTTGAAAATAGTGGAAATTTCATTGTACCATACTTTTATTAATGGTTTCTGTGAGCTCTTGTTATGTGGCACCTCTTGTGTTCTATTCTTCCACCTGCATTTTCAAATCTTCAGACGTGGTCTTACGATTTCCAAAAATTTACTATTGAGGCCGACTGATTGTTTTAGTGCATCTGTGTATTTCAAGGAGTCACATATATACGACCTTATTTCCACTGATGTTTTGTGTGTTTTTTCATTCAAAAAAAAGTGAAATCGATCTGAACATAATTCTAGACGATTTGGGTATTGCTACTAACTCTTGTTTCTGAGTTTTATTCCATACCTGCTGTGTTCATTTAAAAGGACAGACGACGTTTCAGGTTTTCCTTTGAATGAGTATTTGACAACAATTTCAACCTCAGTATTCGATTCCTTTGCAAGCAGTTCTGCTTCATTCCGGAATCTTTCAAAAACTCGTTGCATTTCGTTATTAACTGCACTCGACCTTTGTAGAAATGAGCATTAAATGAAATATATTTACTTTTTATTCTCGTCTCCACATCAATAATTTGCGTACTTTTTGTTTACTTTCAATTTAGAATTCATTGCGTGATGAAACCACCGATAAAATGGTAATTTTTGGAGGCTCTTTGATAACGAAGCATGCCGAAAAACTTTTGGTACACAAAGAAAGTATATGCAAAATGAAAAGGAAAAAATTTTTAATATTACGGAATATAGTTAAGTTTAAACGATATGTTGGACAGAAAACGTTAAGTAAATGTCACGAATGCAGTAAAAGTACCTGGTCCGAAAAAATTCGAAAGCTACAAAGAATGCAAGAAATATTCATATACTTCATGAAGTGCAATTGATTGCATACTGGTGAATGGAAATGATACAAATTCAAACAGTAACATTTCCAAATCTCAACAACTATTTAATTTCTTTGGTAAACGTACTGGCTGCGCAATACGTCCACCCCAATGAAGCCGGAAATTGCCTTTCCGCCATTTGATGTTAGGATTAAACAACGCTTGACACCAAATTGGGAAAGACAGTGCTTCACGATACAACCACACAAATAAGAATTGTGCAAACGAAAATGGCAGCGGTCCATTCTGAAACATGAAAACAAGTTCAGTAGACTGAGGAAGTGAAGTATCCTCTTACCGAAGATTTCGATGATCTTGTGCAAAACGAACCTGAACAAGGTGGATCAAAGTGTAATCACATGAGATCCAGTAAATGAGATGGAAAATAAAATAATAAAAGATGTAAATTGGTGAGGACGGAAGCAGAATCAAAATAGCACAACACCCCAATATGCCGGACAAAAAACAATCTTGCAAAGGTTCCAGTATTATCGTATGAGGTAGCATTGCTATACGTAATTTTATCCACCTGGAAATAAATTGCTACAGAAACGTGAAGTGTAACCAAGCAATTTTTCACTTTGAAGATCTAAATCATCCAGAGGTTTTATTAAGATTGCAAACGACCCTTATAAGAAAACAGTTGAGAATCATTTACGTTATAATTTGAATAGGTCACTTCGAGAAAATCTAGCACAAACCTGCATATACGTTCATGGAAAGTGTTTGGATCAGGTCTTGCTGTGTTTTGCATGGCAGGTAGACCAGAAATTGCTATCTTCCATCCCCTTAACACTCCAATTAGGAATTTGAAAGAAGTTCATACTTCAAGTTTTAGAATCAAACTTTTTAGCAAATTGACCCAATCCCAAAAAAATTAGGAAAAAATACATGCCTTTTAGCAAATGCAACACCAAAGAAATAATCCTCGGCAAGATAGTCACCGAAGTTTTCCATACCACCAGCATCCTCCAGAGCGCATTTTCTCATTAGTGATGACATTCCCGTAGAACAAATAAAACGTAAACAATTACCAGCTAAGTAGATACGTGCATGTTCCGTACCAAAATATACCTGAAATGTTTGGAAAATGATTACCACATCTAAGTTTTTAGATTGCCATCCCTTGCTCAGAAGAAGAATACTGTTTGTGATGTACATTAAGGAAACAATGAAAGCCTAGATAAAAAACTGATCTGTTCAGTTATCTGTTAAAGCTATTACTTGTTCAAGGTTAGCTCCGAAACCCGGTCTATCAGCGCAAAAAGGCATCTGTGTAACTAATGCAACATCACTCGTCATAGCGTTCACCATATCCATTAACGCATCCTCACGCACTAGAAAGAAAACGATGAAATTCATTCCTTAATTCCAAATACTATTGATTCATAAATTTGTAATTCATTTCGACATTTCAAATAATAAAAACTTAACAAGACTTACTATAAATTCCACTATCGCTAACCAAAATTAATGGATATTTTGAAGCACGATATGCAGGTATCATATTGTCAATCTTTGGATTTAATCCAATATTGCCGCCGCCTAAAAAAAAAAAAACAGAATGGAAAGCTTTTTAAATGTTATGTGATTTAAGAAATCTCCGTAAAAAAAATATCAAGAAAAATAAAGTGATGATCTATAAACAAAGTACCGACAAAATTTCTTGCGGCAAGTGTTCATGAAACGTGTAACGTACTGTGGAAACTTCTAAGAAAAGTAAAATAAACTTAACACAAAAAAGACGTGCATCAATGTATGGATATTTCATCATTAGAGCTTCAACGACTTTTTGAGAGGGATCACTCGCATCATGCAAACAAAATAGTAATTCATACTGAAAACAGAAGCAGTTCCAAGATATTTACACCTTATATCGGAGTATAAAACCTATGTTTAAGAATATGCATCTTGGGAATGAAAGGACTTTTTGATTTAAATCCGCACGAATAATTAGCATTCTAATTAAATACGAAAATACGGAAGGTTAACTATGCCTAGATTACATAATGAAAAATAAACCGAATAGAAAGTTTTGATCACAAAAAAGAAACAGCGATATTTATCCTATTTAAACATTCTGCAACTATGAATCAAACATAAACTTGAATACATAATTTAAAGGAGTAACTTACACAATGATATTTTAACTTAAAAAAACTTTCGAGGTTAAAAAATAAATTTTCGTCAGTGCCAACTAGTGGCTTGATAATAGACACCCCAGCTGTATCGCTCCTCGTGGTTATCGGTCGATGCAAACGATACTTGCTGCAATGAAACAAACGTGGCATTCAAAAAAGAATTTCTCTTCAAAGCATTCCTTATTTTCATTAAAAAATCATTAGCGCAGTTTACTGAAATATGTGTAAGATTTCGAAGTGGAAGTAATCCAAAATGAAGGTAGGAAATATACGCATAGGAGATTGCGATGATATGAACGATGTACAAGCCACAGAGAAATAGGGATATACTGACTGCAAATGGGAATGCGCAGCTCGAAATGAAATCGATGAGTGGAAGTGTCATCTGAGGCCATCTGAAATAAACCAAAATGCATTCCTGCGTTTTTATCATTTAGACAGAAGAAAAATTAATATTTGCTGGGATGTTAACAAACTACCTTACACCATTACGCTAACGTAAACAACAAGCAGTTTTATTGCGTTCACAAAGTAAAACTATTATCACTGGATGTCCGCTAATTTATAAAGTAAATGAGTGCGAGGAATTTCTGGGTAAAGTTTTCCAAAAAAATGTTTTTTTTTTTAGTTTTGTTTTCAGTTAGATCAGGAAAGCACACGACAACAGCAGGTCAAATTGATACAAAATAAGACATTATACCATCATCATTACAGTTCTCAGTAAGCGGCGAAATCTAATTTGCATCGTAAACTTCCAATCAAATTTCTTTGTAATGCTGCCAGAAAGCTAATTAAACTTGCCTAATTTCCAGCGATCATAACTGACAACCTCGTACTATATGAAAGCGATTGTGCCTTTTTTCCTTCACATCACAATATAGATGAATGCACTTGTCCAGTGTTACAAGTAATCCTAATTGAACTTAACTAACACATTTGTGGCTGGTTGACTTCATTTTCAGTTGAAAATAAAAGGTCGAAAGAAAGAACTAAATGAAAAGTGTGACCGGAAAAATAATCTTATTCAATGTTCTCGGCACCAACCCAAATAAACTTAGGAGGCACAAACATTATCTGTGACTTTTTACTGAATAATTGGCACTGCAGTGAATATATGCAAAATATGCAGTAGACAATGCAACTTTGCTGTATAAAAGTACATGATTTCGCAAGGTCAACAAACATACAAAAAAATAGCAATTCGAATATCACGAACACAATAAAAGAATACAGCACAAATCAACATAATGCACCTACCTTCATTTTCAACAAGCAATTTCATTTCCGGCAAATTTGCATGTTAAAAAGCCACGGAAGCGTATGAAAGGAAAAAGCATCGAGAATACTCCGTCATAATAGTGATCTAATCTCAACCTCAACAATGCGTAAAATGGGAGATGAAACAAAATATTTCTTTGGAACAAGACAGTGCACTACCTATTTATAAGAATTTCAAAATCTTGGAAGTTTCTTAAAATTTGAAGAGTTTCAGTCGTGAAGAAGATAAAGTAAAGCGATATATATATATATATATATATATATATATATATATATATATATATATATGCAAAACACGCGATTTAATAGGACAATAAGTGGTGGAAAAGATGGGAGCGAGAACAATAGTCCCAAAATATAAATTTCAATTTTTGTAACTTTTGAAAAAACTTTTTTCTTGCTATTATTCTTAAAGATTTTCCTAATTCTTTTAGTGTAAAAAACAAAAACATGTTCTCAACCACAGTTTCCTTCACATAACATAAAAGAAGGGACGATATAATTCAAAAAATGCAGTACTAGAATATGAAAAAAAAATCTATGATGATTGTGTGATGATTGTTTTTTTGATCACTTAGATTTAAAGATTCTTCGATTTTGAACATTAACTTTTACTGCAGTGAGTTAATAATTTTCAGTAGTCATTTTTATTTTCAGTTAGATTATTAAAAAATTAATGCCTGCATGACCTAAGTAGGAAACTTGGACAAATTTAACATTTCTTATGAAACTGGGATATCAGCGAACCACAATGTACTTTTACTGTTTGCGCTGCAAACCTAAATAATAGCACACTTTTATTGATGTAACAAAAAACGTATCGATGGGTGACTTTTAACAAACATTAAAAAGATTCAAGCTTTAAATATGCACTTTTTAAAGATTCCATTAGTGAAAAATGGAAATTTCACTCATTTCAAGAGAGAAGAACCTTTTAAAAGTTCACGATTTTTAAAAAAAGTATTTAAAAAAAATTTCATTATGTAATTTAACCAGTATAACAAACTGAAATAGAGAAAGACTATTGCATTTGCTTACAAGTTTCAGACTTTGTAATAGACAATGGAAAGAACAAGAAACTGTTGAATATGTATGAACAGCATGTTCAACGATACTCACCCCATTGGTCGAAATAAATTTCAACAACAGTCGAAAGAAACCTTAAATAACGATACCATCGTAACTTACA